TCTCTCGCTATGTCTCTCTCTGTCAAATAAATAAATCAATCTTTAAAAAAATAAGAAATAAAAATAAATAAATAAATAAACACTCCAGAAAGCAAAAGAAACAGGCCAGTGCGTTCTGGCCTCAGTCTGAGTGCCAGCTGATCGAGAGGCAGTGGGGAGATCAGGGCCGGAGGGGTGGACAGGTGGAGGCAGACCACACCTTACTGGCCACGGAGAGGCCACAGGCATTTACCACGTGACACAGGAAGCCACAGCGTGTCCCAAGCCCGAGCAGAGATGGGAGTCGATCCCACTCTGAGCTTGCCGGCTCCGAGCCCCTGCGATCAGACGTGGGAGGAGGGCCTCCCCGGCACGGACTCACAGCCTCCATGCCACGGTCACCGGTCACTACCCTTCAAGGCTCCTGTCCAAGGCCCCAAGAGGACCCCACCTGGCCCGCGGCCCCCGGCACCCCTCTCCTCCCGATGTCTGACCCCCACCCCTCCTGCAGCCCGCAGCAAGAACGGGGCGATGCTTCCAGCGGTCAGGTTGCTAGCACACACTGGGACACGGAGGTGGGAACCCCACCCCCAAGTCACACACCCTCTGAAACCCTGCTTTCTCGGCAGGGAAGAAGCCCCGGGGCAACATTCTGTGCACACTTAGAACTTGGGCACCCGGAGCCCCACCCCACCCTCCACCGAGTACAGGGGCAGATGCTGGGACGGCAGGGGTGGAGAGGTGTGGGGCGACCGTGCGCGGACGGTGTGCGCTCCTGGCGCCTCACCGTGGCCTTGGGGCCCCAGGGCCACCTCACTTTACCTGCACACTCCATCCCTCCTTCCGAGCAGGACGAGGTGGGCACACCGTGAGAGAGTGAGCGTGTCATCTGACGCGTGTAGGTATGACCCCAGACGCCCGCACCTCACACGTTACGTTGACGTCCACGACCAAGTGGGCCCCAAGGCAGAAAGCCTGGCCAGGCCGACAAGTGCCATGGAAACGGGAATCTATCTCTCATCTGGCTCAGACCGAGGAAGTGACCCCAGCACCCTCCATGCAAGGAGGAGAATGGTGTGTGCCCCCCCCGGGGGGGCATTAGGGTGGGTCTGGCCACTAGGGGACACGTCCCAGAGGATCCCCCGCTGCAGGGCCTCTGGGGGACACTCACCAGACATTTCCGCCGTGACAACTGGGCGGGGCAGAAGCCTACGGCCACCTGGAGGGGAAACAGCCATAGTCAGGAGGTCCCCGAGGCCGTCGGGGGACCCCGACCCCAGCTGCGCGCCCAGCAGCAACCGCAGCTAGAGACCTCACCTTCAGAGCCCCCCGGGCCGCGTCTGTGCTGGAAGGGGAGGGGTCGGGCTGCTGCCCCAAACACACCTGGCCGGAACCAAAATGTTTCTGGGACCCCGTGGGCCCACCCCGCCTCCTCGTCCCCAACCCCCCCAAACTTCTCTTTATCCATGAACAGCTGCACGCACCTCCTCAGGGCCACTGAGAACGGGGTTCGCGCTCACTGCTGTGGAACATTACACAAGTCACACAGCCTCTCTGGTCTGCACTTCTGTCCCTGCGAGGCTGACAGAGCTGACAACCTCGCCACAACCCAAGTGGGGCAGCTGGGGACGCACCTGGCACCCGGTGCCCTTCCTACATGGAACCAGGTGAGCTGGCGTCACGGAGGAGCCCCGGAGAGCAGGCTGCTCCCGACGCGTACACCTGCGGGGACTTTGCCGGCTCCCTCAGGGCCCTGTGCTGGGCACTGCCATCTCCAGGACATAAGCCGGGCTCACGTGGCCATGACCGCCTCACTGGGATGGGAACCCATGGACGACTTCCTCACCCAGTCTATGTAACGAGGTTCCAGCGACACTAGCTCCCAGGGTCCACGCCCCCTCCCCAGGAGACCCTCTCTGGCCCGGCCCAGTCCTCTGTGCCCACACGCCTGGTGGGCTCACAGCCACCCCACTGCCCGTCCACGGCACTGGCCTGTGGGCAGACCCCCTCCCCCGCCCTGTGCCTGTGGGCTGGCGTGGGCCGGGAGAAGACCCCTAGGGCTCAAGGGGAGGCTCAGAGCAGGGATGAACTGGGCCCCACAGTGGCCCCATGATCCAAAAATGCACCTTTGCCAGACAAACCCACGTTGGTTCTAGTGCTGACGGCTCTGCGGCTGATCCCCCCGCCCCGCCCTCCATGAAGAACAGGAAATGGGACGACAACCGAAGAAGCCTTTCAGGGAGCTGACTCCAGGCTGACAGGTGTGCCCCCGTGTAAATACCCACTGGCCAGCCACACCCTTCCAGACCCAGGACACAGGCAGGGAGGCGCCCGGAGAGGGGGCACTCTTCCCCCACTTGGCTCAGAAGCTCCCCTTCCCGTGCACAAACCCTAAACCTTGGCAGAAGTGGTCACCCAACCCAGGTGCCCTCGGCCACCATGGTCCCCTGCCACTGTCAACAGACGCCAACCTGGTTTGGGGCTGTTTATTTTCACAAACAGAGCCGTCTCCTGACACCCGGGACGGAGGAGATTCTGTCCCGGCAGACCCTCGGGCTTGGGGCAAAAGGTGGCTGGTTGGAGAAGTCCGAGTGCCCAGCCCCCCGCCCAGGCTGGACCCCACGAAGCTCAAGCCCAGGGAAAAGCTCAGTCGGGGCAGAAACGCGTCCCCACACACCAGCGGGAACAGCGTGGGGTCCGGCCTCGGGGTGGAGACGCGCGCCGTCCTTAACACTGACCCGCAGGGTCACGGCCGCCTGGGCGACAGTGAGAGAGGCGGAGGCCTGCCGGGGGGGCCCGAGGGGAGGCTGAGCCGCTGGCGGCAGGGCAAGCTCCAGAGGCAGCGGGCACGGCCGCCTACGAGCCAGGGTCCAGCCGGCGGCACTGGGCCTCCAGGACCCCACGGAACACCTGGAAGCGGTGGTTGAGATCAGGCCGGGCGTGGATGCGGAAGCGGGTACCCAGGGCGCCATCGGGCGAGGGCGCCCCATAGAAGACACGCTGCACGCGCGAGTGCACCAAGGCCATGGCGCACATGGCACAGGGCTCGCGGGTGACGTAGAGGTCGTAGCCGGTGCACACGTAGGGCAGGCTGTCCGCACGCACGTCCCCGTCCTCGTCCAGCTTGCGCACAGAGCCCACGCGGACGCCCAGGGGGGCGAGGGCTGGGGCGAAGGAGCAGGCAGGGTAGGGGCCGAGGTCATAGGCGCCCCGGCCCTGGCCCTGGGCCACCAGGTCAATGCACACCATGGTGGCGTGCAGCAGGGGGCTGGCCGTGTTGCTGCAGTCGTGGCCGGTGGCCAGCACGCGGCCGGAGGACGGGTCCACCACCACAGCCCCCACTGCCCTCAGGCCCCGCGCCGCCGCCTGCCGCGCGGCCCACACAGCCCGCTCCATGTGGCCCTGCATCGCCGTCTGCTCCTGCGCGGAGAACAGCCGCCCGGCCAAGGCGCGAGTCACCTGCCTATCCTCGTGGAAGGACGTGGGCCAGTGGGCGCGCGCCTCCTCGAACTGGCCCCTGGTCAGGGGCGGCCGGGCTGGCACCGGCACCAGGAAGGGCTGCCCCAGGCCCCGGGGGTCCACGGCCGGCTGCGGGAGGAGCTCAGCGAGCGATCTGGCACCTGCGGCCGGCCCCGCCAGGCACAGCAGCAGCTCCAGCGCGTGCGGTCGGCGGGCATCGCGGCTGGGCCGCACCCTCTTGAGGTGAGGCTGGGCGCGCAGCGGGTGGACGGCCGACACCTCCCGGAGGAGGCGTGACGTCTGGCGCTTGTCGAGGATGGGTGCGGCGTAGGCCAGCACCAGCTCCACGTCCTCGGACTGCTGCTCGGACAGGACCGGGAGGGCTTGCCACGGCTCGGGCTCTTGCTCGGGGCTCCGGGTCTTCTCGTCCCCACGCTGCTCCATGAGGCCCGGGGCGGGGTCCTTCCGCGGCACGGCTCCGACTGTGGGAGACAGAGATCGGAGCAGAGCATCATCCGTCAGGTGCAGAAGGCCCGGGTGAGCCGGAGGAGTCCGTCCCAGGTCCCAGGAGCGTGCGGCATCTGAAGGCTCGTCCGAGAGCTCGGCCCGCAGAGAACGCATCACTGGCCATGCTCGCGCTCAGATCCTGCCAACTCTTGGTTTGCAGAACTTAAACCGTCACTGACAACTTTGTCCCCCGTGACATGTGTCACCGTGAACAGGCACACCGGGTCTCGTAGACTCAGTGAGAAAAAGCACGAACAGTCTCGTCAACTGTCTTCATGTTGGCCGTGTGCTCAGGTGACAACACTAATTCCACCTGTTTCTTTGTGCACTTTTTGGGATGGTGGCTTCTAGAATGTTTCACGTTATGTCTGTACCTCGCATTGTGTCCCTGTCGGTCAGGATCGGCTCGGATAACGTCAGACCTCAATTACTGGTCATCTCGACGTGACTCTGGAGAATCCTTGTTGCCACTGTGTGCCCACACCACACGGCCTGCTGGCATCCTGCAGTGGACCGCCCCCCTCCCCGCCCCTCCCCGTGGACTGGGAAAGGCTGCAATTGTCTGACAACTGTGGGCTTCTACCTTTCACGACGCGCCTCCCAGCACGCTCCTCTGCTGCACAGAACCGCGGGCATTCATCAGCCAGGCCCGCTGGAGGGCACGGGACATCCTCGCCCACCGCGCTATGTCCTGAGCTCACGCTACAGTCTGGTAAGCACGCAGAACCAGGGGCGCTGGTGGCAGCCACGAGGACTGGAAGGCGTAGAGGGCCCCTGGTGCCAGGCAGGGCCCACCGGAGGGTCCACGGTGCCGACTCTGAATCTGCTCCCAGCACACACCATGCCCAGGGCCCCACAGCCCGCATGGGCCGCAGAAGCTCCCAGTCTCCACGGCAAAATACACGTCTCACTTGCTCCTCCAAAAGTACAACTCTGTCCGATGAAAACAAAACAGGTGACAAGTAAAGGAGCCTGCCACTGGGACACTGCTGGCCGGGGTGCCGGCTCCTAGGTGGGGTGGGTAAAAACCCCAGCAGTCACTGTCCAGCCAGCAGCTGCTCCACTCCACGCCCAGCCACGCGCCCAGGAACACGGAGAACACACGTCCACAAAGAAGCCTGCACACGCCTGCTCACGGCAGAGCGTCCACCAGCAGCCAGAAGGTGCGCTCACGGCCCGAGTGTCCTTCGATGGATGAACAGATACACACACGGTCCCCCACGCGCAGGCATGTTACTTGGCCATGAACGGGAGCAAGGCGCCCACGCACGCTGCCCCGGGGACGGATCCCGAGCCCACGATGCTCAGGGAGGGAACCAGACACAGACGGCCACACGGGGTGTGAGTCCACGTGGGTGACACGTCCGGAACAGGCTCATCCACGGACGGGAAGGGGGCTCGTGGGGGCCGGGGGGAGGGGGACTGGGTGTGACTACTAACGGGGATGGGGCTTTTTTGGGGGGCGGGTGGAATGTTCTGGAATAAGACTGTGATGACAGTTCCACAACCCCACAAATGTCCTAAAAACCACAGATCTGTCCGTTTTAAATGGGTGAACTGCCCCTCAGTGAAGCTGCTAAAAAAAACCGGGGAGAAGTAAGGACGTGGGGAGGGGTAAGGACACGGGGCAGTTGCCAGGTCAGCAGCCTCCAAACAAGGCCCAATGCCTCAGATGACAGCTGCTGGTACCGCAGCCGCCACGTGTCCTCCTAATGACCCAGGAGGGAGCTTGGGGAACTGTCCCCTTTCTACAAGACAAGATGAGGCTCTGTGAGCCGGAAGGACGTGCCTGGAGCCACAAGGCAGGGAAGGCGACTCAGGATCTGACCAGGCAGTCATTCAACCGCTCTCAGACTGCCTCCTGAGCCCACTCCACAGGTACGGAAGACAGCTTCCGCAGACGGGGTCCCGCCTGAGCTCCCAGGCCCAGCGTCCGGAGGGGAGAGCCAGCCCAGTGGCAAACAGCGTCCACAGACCAGTGTTCTGTTTCAACACGCCAGGGATGTGGAGTGGGCCGGGAGCCGCGGGGCACCTGGGCTCCTCTCTTTTTTTTTTTTTTTTTTTTTAAGATTTTATTTATATATTAGAGAGAGAGAGAGAGAGCACAAGCAGGGAGAGTGAGAGAGGGAGAAGCAGGCTCCTTGCCGATCAAGGAGCCTGACATGGGGCTCGATCCCAGGACCCTGGGATCATGACCCTAGCCGAAGGCAGACGCTCAACCAACTGAGCCACCCAGGTGCCCCACCTGGGCTCCTCTCTTGTCCGCTGCTCCAGATCGAGCCCCAGCCTCTGGCACCTGGCCGCCTCCACACTCCCCGCACACACCCTTGGCTGTTCTTGCCAGCTCGGTCCCGTCCCTGGCACCCCCGGGGCAGACACAGCCTGCTCGGAACAGCCCGTTCACCTGCGCTGTCGCAGCGCCTGTCTCTGGCACCGGAGTCCTGGGCCGGGAGCAGGGGGCCCTCGCCTGCATGGGAGCCCACAGGGTCTGGTGGGCCAGAGACACAGGACCCTAACACAAGTCCCCTGGGCAGCTTAGGGCCCCCCGCGGCCCCCACCGCAATCGGGGTACTCTGGAACCCTGGCGCTGGGAGCAAGCAGGAAATGGCACCGATTCAGGCAGTGCAGTCGCCCTGCAAGGCAACACCCCGTAAACTCACTCAGGCCCCATCTCACCAGGGGACCAGGCAGGCAGGCCAGAACCTGGGTGTGACCCCACCCTCAGCGTCCCCCTCGGAGAAGTGGGAACCCAACACCATCACGCAGGGCAGTCTGAGCCAGGAAGGGACGCAGGCCACACGGGGCCCCACACGAGGTCCCCGGCCCGGCGACGCCCTGTGGGGGGCGGCCAGCGTCCCGGAGGGCTCCTCGGAGGCAGCGACTCACAGCGCGCCCTGGAAGGCAGGCAGCCCTGAGCAGGACAGCCAGCGCCGGAGTCCCGGGCCGCCCGCAGCGCGCCGGGGGCTGGTTCCAGGGCGCTGCCATCTGAGCCCCTGACAAGCTCCCCCCTTGCTTATACGGACTTCTCCTACGGCGGGGCGTCCTGCCACGCGCCCTTCCGTGCACGAAAGTTCCAGAACGTCGGACATGCGGGGTGCGGGAGGGAACCCCGTCTGCCCGGAGCCACGACAAGAGAAGACCCCGAGCACTCACACTGTCGGTAAGCGCTGGGAGAGGCTCACGTCTACCCACGTGGCAGACGCCTGCGGGGCGGGACGCCAGTAATCGCGCGGCCCGGAGGCAGGGGGCTGGCCGCGATGACCCCAAGCACGCGCGCGGGGGGAGGGGGCGAGCGGAGCAGCTGGACGCACGGGGCCTCCACCCCCGGCCGCAGGGGCGCGCGCACGCGCACACGCGCCAATGCCCCCGGCTGCCTCCTCGCGCCCGGCGCGGCCGGCGTCCCCCGCCAGCCGAGATACGACCCCCCGCCCGTCACCACCCCGGCTCGCCGTCCGTGGGAGCCCGGGTCGCGAGAGCCGAGCCCCCGGGGCCCCGCGCTTACCTGACGAACCGCAAGCGAGCGCAGCGCCTCACAAGTCTTAGCAACCGACCGCCTGCCCCGCCTCCGCGCGCGCCGCGGGGCACGACGGGAGCGTAGTTCTAGGGGCGGGGTTGGCGGGGAACAGGGGCGGGGCCGGAACTACAATCCCCACAAGGCTGCGCGCCGGGCCACGGAGTGCCGCCCATCTCCCGAGCGCGGCTCGGGAGACCGGCTGGAGCGCCGGGAGCGCCGAGTTGAGGGTTCGAGGTCCGGAGAAGAGGACCCTGGGGGCTGTTGGGGAAATCCGACTAGAGAGACTGAGGCAGAAGCGTACACGACACCCTGCAGCGCTCCTCGAGCCCAGTTTGCTGCTGCCACGCGGCTCCAGAGGGGCCGCCCGCCGAGACCTGCGTGGTCAGGTTCTCATAGTGGTCTAGGACTGGGCGACTCTTGGCCTCAGTTTTCCCACCTGTACAGTAGGCGAAGGTCTCGGGACCTCTTGACTCTTTAAGGCAAAACATGCTAATTTTATGAGCAACTCCAGGGATTCATTCTGGTCAAACATTTATTGGGCGCCTGGGTGGCTCATTTGGTTAAGCGACTGCCTTCGGCTCAGGTCATGATCCTGGAGTCCCTGGATGGAGTCCCGCATCGGGCTCCCTGCTCGGCAGGGAGTCTGCTTTGCCCTCTGACCCTATCCCCTCTCATGTGTTCTCTCTCATTCTCTCTCTCTCAAATAAATAAAATCTTTAAAAAAAAAAAACAGATTTATTAACCCAAGGATTCTCTACATTGCGCAACGTTTGGCGACATTTGTTGTGACCCGGGGGCGGGGGAGGGTGCACTTGGCATCAAATGGCATCAAAACCTGGAGGCCAGGGATGTCGTTCAACACCCTGCGGTGCACAGGACACAACCAACCCCAAGCGTACACAGCGCAAAGGTTGGAAGATCCCGGTTTGACCCCATTGCTGAGTAAGGAGAAAAATTCAGATCTAAAAGGGCCCGGAGGGGCGCCTGGGTGGCTCAGTCGTTAAGCGTCTGCCTTC